GGGATCCGAGCGGGGCGGCGGGCAGCGGGTTGTGCGCAGCGGGAGCGCACTCCGCCGCCGAGCCCGCCGCGGGGAGGCGGAGCTCCGCCCCTGCCCCGGCCCGGCTCCTCCCCCGGCCCCTGCGCCAGGCTGGGGCAGCCCGGGACCGGGCTCGGTGCCCAGGGCAGCACCTTTGTTCACTAATGTAGACCCTGCAATAACAAGGCTTGTTGTTTGCCCCGGGTTTCTTGCCCCCCCAGCCATGAGCCCGCCTCAGCTGGTCGTGTTACAGCAGACCCGACAACAACAAACTCCCCCCGTCTGCTCTGGTCCCTCAGCCAGACGCCCCTCAGGGCTCGGGCCTGGCTGTGCTGGGCGCGCGCAGGACCCGGGGCAAGAGGAAGCTGAGGGGGCAGGGAGATGTCACCCAGCCGCACAGAGATGTGTCCCAAGTCCCCTCATCTTTCCTCGCAGGGGCTGCTTGCGCCTCCTTCTGTTCTGTTACTGGCAGGAAGGAGCTGGGCGCCAAGGGCAAGGTTGGGTCTGTATCCTCCCTCCCTCCCAGGACTGCCAGGGCACCCCCTGAGTGGGTGCTGCCACAAGCCCCTGCTGAGGCTGCCAAGAGCAGTCCCACGGGTCTGGCGCTGCCCCTCACTCAACAGCAGCCTGGTGGGGCACCCCGGGCTCCTCTGTGTTCACTGGCCCGGGCAGAAGCTGGCATGTGGCACCACATTCAGGATCCCTGAAGATCCTGCTTAATGACAGGGCCCCAGCATGTTGTCACCAGCACAACGGCAGAGCTGCCAGGATCACAGAGCCAGAAAGCCCTGGGGTAGGAGGGAGCTTCTCAGTTGAGGTGTAAGGAGAGGGGTGGGCTCAGCATGTGGGAAATCAGGGGCAGGACTGCCCACTGCCAGGCAGCTTGTAAGTGCTGGCTCCATGCAGTGCCAGGCAGCAGAGACCTTGCCTCCAACACTGGGACCCTGGGTAGGCTCAGGCCTAGTGGGCTACAGCAGACCCTAGGTGTAGGACCTGGAGACAGCCAGGGATATCCAGCACTGAATGCTGGAGAACGTGTCCCACAGCAAGAGGTGTTAGGAGCACTGTCTATTTGGCTCACAGCGTCTCTGTGGTGACATGGGGAGGAAATGCCAGATATACAATGGCCACTTAGTGAAGCCCATAAGGTCAGACCTAGAACCAGCATCTAGAAGCCGAAGACAGGCAAAGGCAAGCTGGAAACGAGGCAGAGTTTTTTACAGGGAAGCTGATTCACCAGGGAAACAAGCACCCAGCGGGTTGTAGAGTGGGGTTCAGGCTGAACTCCTGTGCTCCTCAGTGCCAGGACATAGTAGCTAGGCTTTGCCCACCTTTGTGGCCTTGAAGCCCAACACTTCAGCTGCATGGCACCTTGGCAGAGCTGGGGGAGCTGCCTGAGAGGAGATCAGGCTGCTCCAGACAAAGGAGCCCCAGCTGGAGGAAGCCACTGTCTCTGTTTTTCCTCTCCTTTGAAGGAAACCTGCCAGAGGACTCTCGGGGGGCAGGCAGTGGGACTGGCTGAGACCTTTCAAGGAAATGCCAGCCATCAGCCCTGAGTCACTGTCCTGACTCACTCCAGGCCGTGAATAATCACTTTGACAGCTCTGAGGCACCTGTCACGCCAAAGGCTGCATTGCCATCTCCTCCCCTTCACCAGCATGAGGCTCCCACCTCTGGGGAAGCAGGAGGAGAGTTGCTGCCCATAACCCACATTGTAGGAGAGGAAGGGAAGCAGAACACCCAGGCCCAGGGGAGGCAGCAGGAGCACTCATGCAGTAGACGCCCAGAGACATCTGCTGTTGGGCTCTTGCTGGTGGCTGAGAGAGACCACAAGCCCACACAGCATCCTTCTTGTAGGAATCCCCTGCTGCCCAGAGCCCCTGCCTCTCACTCAGGCTCCCTCCCTCCCATCCATGGAGGCAGCAGCCCCAGCCCCAGCCTCTGTGCTCTGGCTGGGCCCCAAATCACCCAGCCTTTGGGGCTCCTGTCAGCACAGCTTTCCCAGTGCCCCAGGGGCTGCCCTCCACGGGCTGGTGAGCCCAGTGCTAACTAGGGGCCCCACTGACATCAGCCCAGAGTGGGAAGGGGGGGAAATGCAACAAAGAGGGGGATTGGAGCTGGGGTGGGGGAGGGGGCCAGCAAAGCAAACTTCCCCATGAATAGCCCAATTGAGAGGCTTTCTTACACCCAGCACAGATAAGGGCTTGTGACCGGAATTCCATCCGTGCAGGAGACAGGAGCGACATGGGGAATCCTGATGAGCTGCCTCGCTCTGCAGCCCACACTGGCTCTCGGCTGCCCAGCCCAAGAGGGCGTCTGGCTGTCCAGACACTCATGCACAGACCAGACAGCAGCTGGAGACTGCCCCCCACCCACCCCATGAACACGGCATCCCCTCCCCTTGGCCATGGGGGCACTCACAGCCCACAGCGCTGTGCCTGTGCCAGGGCTCAGTTCCCTCAGGGGAGTCTGACTCGAAGGTGCTTTATAAAGCTCATTTTGTGCCAGTTCCAGGGTGCTGGCCCCAGGGATGGGAACCTTTTCACCTAGCAGGAGGGCACACTGCTGGTCTTAGTCCAGCCCCAGAGGGGTCTGTCTGTCCCCTGCCCCTACTTTTCAGGGAGAATTTGTAGTCAAGGAGGATCAGTGGCTGGCAGAGAGCATGGCACTTGATGAGAGCCACAGCTCCACGGTGATGGGTAGGGAGAAGAAGGAGCCTGGGGGTGATGGGTTTCTGGGTTTGGATGGGGGGCCTGTGCCCCACACACTCCCTGAGTACAGTTCTCCTGGGGTTTTGCAAAGGATGAGCTGCCGCAGCTGCAAACAGACCTGCCTGTCTGGACTCGCCGGCAAGCGGGGAAGGGAACGATACAGCCCCACGGCTCATTTCACACAGCATAGGGCGCCAACACCTCCCCCCAGCCCCCGCCAACCTGTCATGCAGCGCAGGGCTGGGCAGGAGCTAGCTATCAGAGGGGGAGTGCCCCTTGCTCCTTCTGGGCCTGAACTCCCGCAGACAGTGCTGAACTGAGGGTCACTGCCCCTTGGCCTGAGCTCATAGGAACAGTGCAGATGGGGAAGACAGCTCTAAGGTGGGGGGGGATCTCCGTTTTGTTCAGCACTCCAGCAGCACAAACTGCTTTGTGGCAGCCAAGATACCACATCGCTGATGAAGGGGCTGACTGTACCCATAAGGAGTCTGCAGTTCTGCTGAGCTTCCTGAAGTCAGCTCCAGTGGGGAGAAGAGCGCTGCTGGCACCCTAAGGAGACCCAGCCAAGAGGGTCACTCTGGGACGCACCAGCCAGGGCAACCAGGTGATCAAGCCGCTGCTGTCCATCTCCTGTTCTTCTTAAATCACCGTGCTGGCTGCTTTGGGTTTAATGCTTATTAGTCTGGGGCTTGCAGAGCTCAGCTCTGTTCTCTGGGCACAGGGAGCCAGCAACACTCAGGTCTCATTAAATGCTGCCTGATGACTTCACCGACAGGGTGACGCCTCAGAGATGCCTGGCTGTAACATAGGTGCAGCAGTAAAGGCAGCACAGCACTGGCATTTCCTCAGGTAGCCAGCCCTGGAGTTCCCCCTGCAGTCATCTTATAGGGGGTCATTGTCCTAAAATGCAGCTGCTGGACAGCTGTAGAGCAACATCAGCAACCTGCCATAGGTGAGAATACATGAGCCACAGCATGGTCTAAGGTGGAGGCTGCTGCGTTGCCTAGAGTGGAGATGCAGGCCAGGACAGTTCATCTGCATGGGGATCAATGCTCTTCTTACACCTATGGAAGACAGGCACAGAGCAGGGCAAGGGCCACCTGTGATCATACCCTGAGCCAGTACCAGAGCCAGGGTTGAACCCAGGAGTCCTGGGCCCTGCCCACCCTGATTCAAACACTGGAATCCCCTCTCCCCTCAAAAGCAAAGCCCAGGACATCTATAAGCTGAATTCTCCAGGGCCCAACAAAGCCAGAGGACGAGGCTGCTGTGCTGGTGCTGACCTGGCCCTGGGCAATAAGCCACCCATGTGGGGTGGCCTGACACAGCCACAACAGGGCATCTCATATGTAGCACCTTCCCATGGTAGAAGGGGAGTCTGTAGGGGTCTCCTGCCCTAGCTCCCCCATCCCGCCCTGCAGCAGCCCCTGGCCCCCCAGATCAGGGTAGATGAAGGTCCACCTGGCAGAGATGAGCCCCAAAGGGATAGTGCCCATCCTAAGAAGTGATAGGTAGCAGAGAGCAGAGGGAAGCAGCTCTGCCAAAGGGCTAGATGTTACCTGAGTGCAAACAGCCCCGGATAGCCCACAGGGGCTGGAGAGTCCAGCCTGGGTCTAGGCCAAGTCCCTGAACAATGTGGAGGAATGGGAGAGGCCAAGGCCTGGCCCAGCAACTGGGGAGCAGTCCTTAGCTCAGGACTTGGGTTGGGCAGGGGACCCTAAAGCTAAGTCCTGGCTCAGCCCTGGAGGGAGGACCAGGCCAGGAGCTGCTCTGGGTCTGTGCTAC